CCCACCATGTATTCAGTGGGCGCCACCCACTCCACCGTGCCCACGCTGAGCTCCGGCCGCTCCTCCGCGTCCCGCCGCCGCCCGCTGGCATCCAGCGTTGAAAAGTACTCCACCGGGGCCTCGTTCAGCATGGTGCACACGTTGCACTTGAACCGCCGCCCGCCGTCTGCCCAGGAGCAGAAGGGGTTCATGTAGGTGCGGCAGCGGCGGCAGCGGACGATGCCCTGCGGGCCCAGCGGGATGACTGGGACCTGCGTCAAGGGGAGCGCGGGGTGGGGGGGCCAGGAGGAGAATGAGTGGGGGTTGAGTGGCAGTCAAGCGCATCATGAGTGGTGATGGTGATGCGCGTGCAGGTTTGAGTGTGTGTGAGTGCGCGTGCGTGCGCGCGTGCGCGTGTGTGCGCATGTGTCATGTCCACGCGAGCACCGAGCCTGGATAGCAACGTTCCATGCTGGGCGCAGCTGCACACGCTGGCTGATCTCAAGCGGCCGGCCCGCCATCTTGCTGCCGCTGCCGCCATCCGCCTCACCTCGTTGCCCACGCCCTCATCGCCCATGGGCCGCACCACCACGCCGAGCGGCAGCTGCCAGCGCGCGCGCAGCGCTGTGCTGTTGGGCAGCGCGTTGACCTGGAGGGGGGTTCACAGGGGAGGGGAATGTCAGGGCCCTGAAAATGAGGGGCATGGTGCCGCGGCTCCCACTGCAATGCATTTGCAGATTGTTGCAGCGGTCCTTCCACGCTGGCAGCGGGCACGCCCACAGCAATGCCGCAACTGCCTTTGCCAGTTTCTCTAGCCCAGAAGCTGCCTGTGCGCCAGCCGCCAGCTCGCTTCCGCCCACAACCGCACCGTTGGCCGCATGTTGTGGGGCGAGCAGCTGCCGCGGTCGAACTGCGGCGCAGCTGCGCGCGCGCGCTCCCGGTCGGGCCCCGCCGGCCGCGGCAGCACGCTAATGTCAATGGCGTCCGCGCTGCCGGGGCCACCGCTGCCCAGCGTCAGCGACTCAAAGTGCTCCGCCATGCGCTGTTCGAGTACGGGATCACGTGTTCATAAAGGAGGAACAGTGCGATGCTGTGCGTGAGCGTTGCTGCTCCAGCCGTGATCGCCTGTACAGCAAGGTCCCCAGACTGACACACCAGGGGGCCGCTGCTTGTGGACCATGCGGCGCCGCATCCGCAGAGCTGGCACGCACAGTGAGGGACCCCGCTGCCCGCACTCACCTGCATCCCATAGCCGCCATCCATGCCCGGCGGCCCCGGCGGCATGCCCGCGCCCATGCCAGGCGGCCCTGGTGGCGGCCCCATGCCCGGGCCGGGTGGGACCATCCCCATCCCCGGGCCCGGCGGTGGCGGCGCCATGCCGGGTCCCGGGACGCCTGGGCCCGCCATCCCTGGCCCCAGCATGCCAGCACCAGGCGGTGGCGGGGCGAAGCCGCCGCTTGGCGGGCCGGGCGGCCGCGGCATCGCGCCGCCTGAAATTGAAGGAGCGCAGCAAGGTAGGTTGACAGGTGAAAGGGCGAATAAGAGCAGAATGCTGAATATATGGTCGGCGTTGCCAGAACCGCAATGCCGGCCTAGCGAAGTGAGCCTGATACCTGTTTCAATCTCTACACTGTGCTGACACAGGAAGTGCGTTAGGCTTAGCTCCTGCCCTCCCTGCATAACCGCTCACCTGGCGGCGGCGGCCCTGGCCCCATCGGCCTGAACGCGGGTGGTGCACCCGCAGGATGAGGCTGCTGCTGCTGCTGCTGCTGCTGCTGCTGGAATGGTGGGGGGGCTGCACCCATCGGCCGCGGCCCTGTTGGGAACGCCCCCATCGGCGGCTGAAGCCCGCCAGGCCCCGGTGGCCCCATCGGCCGCGGGGCGCCTCCCATTGGCCCCGGCGCACTGCCCATCGGCCCCGGAGGCCCCATCGGCCTGGGCATGCCACAGCTGCCCGGCGGCGGGGAGGGCCCGCCCGAAAACCCGCCTGGCGCCGGCGGCCCCAAGCCATTGCTGAATGGCGCTCCAGGCGGCACGCCAGGCGTCCGCTGAGGGCCTGCGACCACCATGCGTTACGGTCATGTGCGCAGTCTTCATCGTGGAAAATGCTTGCCAAAAGACGAGCCACACCGGCTCCCGCTTCAAGGGTGCATTCACAGCTTATTTGCGGTGATGCAACAAGGGCACCGCTGCCGGCGCAGAACCCAAGGCTGTATCCAGGCGGCTCAATCGACCGCCCGCCAGAGGCGCATGCACACACGAATGCACGCACACACACACACACACACACACACACACACACACAAACACACACACACACACACACACACACACACACACCAGCCCACCTGGCGGCCCTGCCGGCCTGGGGCCTCCAGGCATGCCCCCAGGCGGCCCACCCAACGGGGCTCCCAGTGGCATCGGCGGCCCGCCCATGGGGCGTGGCGCTCCTCCTCCAGGTCCAGGATACATGCCCCCTGCACACCGCGCGATTTGCAGTCACTGCAACTTGTATACAGAAGCAACACGTGCAGGCGGTGTGGCAAGTGCCGTCCGCAGCGCCATGCAGTCGCAACCAACCGCGCCATGCTGCAGCATGTTTGCGCAAGCTCCACGCTTGCGCACCTGGCGGCCCCGCTACAGATGACCCATACTGTTGAGCTCCTGCGTAGCAATCATTCATTTATAGTGACGCACGCAAACCCACATATAAGCACGCGCGATCTGGTGCGGCAAATCGCACCTGCTGGAGGTCCCAGCGGGCGTGGTCCCCCGAAAGGCGGAGCCCCTGAGACAGATTGCCGATTCAAGCATGATAACGCTGCTGTATGCCACGATCAGCTCCCAAACAGCACTATCACCCCTCAGCGACACAACCTCCTCACCAGGCTGTCCGCCCGGGGATGGGTTCATCTAATAACTGTCAAGACTATTCCGCTCCTTGTTAGCAGGCTGTGGATTGATGACCCAATCGTGAGCGATCTGGCGATCGGGGACTGCAAATCTTCATCAACTGGATGCTGCAACTCTCCCCCGTTCAGGCTCAAGCAAAGGTCAGGGGCAGGGTCAGTGGTGCCGGCGGGTGTTCACGACATTACTGCGGCGAGTCAACCAGCAGCTGCAGGGCGTCGGGGGCAGCTTGGCACGCGGGCTCGCTCGAATTAGCTGCGCAAGGGCTCGCAGAGATTGCCCTTACCACACAAGCCACTTCAACCAGCTGCACGCCTGTGACAAACGGTGTGCTCTGCAGAAGGGTTGGCGGCAAAGTATGGGATGCAGTCGAGCACTGACGCTGGTTGCGCGGGGTCGCAGCCGCATGCTTGTCCGCAGGTCACCTGCGGCTTGCACGTCGGCTCATGTAATTGCAGGCTGTCTCCACGCCACCGATAGCCATGCACATCTACACCACGGCGGCGATATGTTACAGTTGGGTGCGGCTTTCCTCCAGCCTTCCCCAAAAACTAGCTGTGTGTTTGCTGATCATCAAGACGCTGTACAAGCACGAAGCATCAAGAGGGGAGAATCATTGCAATCGGGGATGATCTTGCAGGCAGGGCCTCGTGGCAAGGGATGCGCGGCGCACCGCCGCCTAACAAGAATGGCTTACTCCCACTTGTGGGGTTGAACGCCCCGGGACGCGGCAAGGTTCCAGGTGCCCGCGGCTGCGACGCAGCGGTGGCTGTGCAAGGGACAGGGACGGTGCAACGTGCGAGTTCACACGAGCACGAAGTCATCAGACATGGCGTCAGACCCCACGTGCATCGACCGCACGTACCGCCCCAGCGTTGCCGCGCCGAAGCCGCCGTCCGGCGCCGCCTCGCGCAGCGCAAGCAGTATGTCGGCGCACGTTATCTCGGGGGTGTCGCGACTGTGGCCATACTGCTGCTGCTGCTGCTGCTGCTGCTGCTGCTGCTGCTGCTGCTGCTGCTGCCCTTCCCTTGACTGACCGGACGCGCCCTCGCCGCCGCCATCGTCCTGTGACAGCAGCGGCGAAGCAGCGCCCTGCGCCACCTGCGCCGCCTGCTGCTGCTCCTGCTCCTGCTCCTGCTGTTGAGCAGCCCGCCGCGCCTCAGGCTCCCGCCGGAAGTACACCGCCACCAGCGCTCGGCCCCCGACGTTGCGCGTCGCCGACTGGGGGGCGAGATTCGAGCCGCGGTGAGGTGGCAGCTTCGCAACGGGCATCGTGCTGATAATGGCGGGACTGTTGACAAGCACGTCATGCGTTGCAGCAGGCAAGGCACATGCCACCGCAAGCAGCCAGGCTCCGCGGTCCATGCCCGCACGCCTGCTCTGCGCCCCCAACCTAGGCTCGGATTCAACGGCTGGCACCCACCAGCAGGCCGTGGAATTCGCACAGGCCGTGCACCAGCAGGCGCCCAAAGCCGTCAGGCACGTCCATCAGCAGCTCTGCCGCCGGGTCGCCGCCCTCCACCAGCCCAAGCACCTGTAGGCACGCGCGGCCGCGCGGAAACGAGGGTCGAGCGACGCTGGGACTTGACTGGAAAAGCTTGGGGGATCTGATTGTTGCGGCTACCTGTGCGCACGCCGCGGCGGGTCGGCTTGGCCGCGGAAGCCCCGCGCTCTCTGAGGCCCAGGAATGGCGCCGCGCCTGCACCCCGCCCGCGCCTGCCCCCTGCGCCCCCACCTCGTGCTCCAGCTCCATCACTGAGTGAGGGTTGGCCTTCTTGAGCGCGGCCCGCGCGGCGCGGCTCACCCGCCCCCACGCCCGCACCGCCGCCGCCGGCGACGCGCCCGGCGGGCCGGGCGCGTCCCCCGGCCCCGCGCCGGCGCCGGCGCGCCGCTGCTGGGTGTTGTGTTGTGACCAGCGGTCCAGGACCTTCTCCTCCCGCTCCATTGTGATGCTGCGGAAGTGGTCCCACAGCGCGGCATGCTCGGGGCCCGCGACCTCGGCGAACAGCGTGGGGCGCTGGGGGCCGCCGAAGGGCGGCGGGTTGAACTGGCTCTGGGCGTGCAGGCGAGGTGAGGGGGGAGACGCAGGCAGATTGTAACGAGGGTGCAAGCCCTGGGCAGGGCCGCCCAGGAAACGGGCAGGGCCGCCCCGGAAACGCGCTCTGCTACCGAAACACCATCAAGCGCCCAACAAGCGCAAACATCCGTGACGCTGCAATCCCTGCAACCGCGTGTGACGAGCGGAACCAGCACCATGCGCCGTGCATGAACGCTTCCCCCTGAAGCGCATGACAGGGCGAGCAACCCTACCTGCATGTCCTCCGCGGTCATGCGACCAAACTTGGCCAGGTGTCCGTCGCGCAGCGCCTTGTCGTTCAGCCTTTGGGGGCCGACAGCACGTGTGGCGCGAAGGGGGGGCTCATGCCTCGGTGGCTGCCTTTGCCGCGCGGCCTGCAGCAACAGCCGTGCCTCGTCGCTGGGTGCGGTGGCCAGGGGCAAGGATGCACGCATGCGTACGCGCCAGCGCGCGCGCTAGGGTGGCAGCCGGGGCGGCGGGTGGGCGGGCGCCGCCCACCAGCGGTTGCGACGCCGCCAGCCGGCGCGCTCGATGGCGCGCAACTCCGAGATGTCCTCCAGGGACGCGGCGCCGCCCGCCGCGGCCTGCAGGGCCGACCACGCCTCCTCCTTGCCGCGCGAGCCGGAAGATTTATTCTTGCCCGACTTGCCTGTGGAGTGCATTATGGAGTGGGCAACGTGGCTCTGGGCGGGGCGCGTCAAGGCGCTCCGCTGGGGGGACCCAATGCCGTGCCCAGGTGCCACGTGCTGGCCTCAGCAGGCACGCCCAAGGCTGCCCTCTCACCACCGTTGCGCTCTGTGAGCCGATAAGGGCGGCCGCCTGGGCCGTCAGGCATGATGTAGGGGGCTGCCATGACGGGCACTGGCCAAGCGCAGCCGAGCACAAGCCGGTTGCGCCCCGATGCACAGTTGCTGCTGCTTGCGCCACGCAAGGGTCTTGCGAGCGCCCCGTGCGCCTGCACGTCTAAAGTGGATTTTAAAAAAGCCGCAGGCACGAGGCTGTGGGATCAAGCGAGGGATCGCGGGCCTTGCTGCCACGACAGCCGCATACGCTGCAGCTGATTCCTGAGTATTGCAAGAACCTTTATTTTATGCAAGTGCCATCTCAGCTCATGGATGCTCCCTCGTACCGTAGTGCACCGCAGCCCACTGACAGCACAATCCAAGGGGCACCGCAAAGCCGCGATGCGGCATGTGAGCGCAGCATACGGTGGCAGGGGCAATGGGAGTTTTGTGCCGTATATCATATTCGAGCAGCCGTCACATCTGTCTGGCTCGCTTGTGCGCCCGCGTCGACACAACACCACAAGGGCCACATGTTGACCCATGCTTACATATACGTTGACCTGTCAGACGCAACGCGCGAACTTTGGAGCCTCGTGCCTCCCCTCTCCCCCCCGCCCAGATTGACACTAACACAGGGGCGCCAGGTTTCAACATGCAACCCAGATGCCTTCAGGGGCCAGCTGGTCTACCACGGCACAAGTGGCTGGCACAGATGACATACATTTTATGACAGGAAACAGCAAGCCAAGAAGCTTGCCAATGGGTCTCACTGGAAAGGACCTGCAGCTTTTGAAGCGGCCACGACGCTTGCGACCAAAGATGGACCTTGACTTGTGATTGTGCCCCTGCCGCAAGCAATGGTCCTGAGACCTGAGCAGCGTAGGTCAGCTAACCTGCCGTCCTGGAGTCTTGACCAGGCTGTTAGCAAGGTGGGCGAGTACCTCTCACCCAAGGCTGCCAACCTCCCTATCTAACGCTGCAAGACCTGATCATTACATGTATTGGGATGAAGCACTTACAGCATTGAAATGCGCGCGTGACAGTTCAGTGCCACGCTCAGCAACGGGCTGTCCGGGAGCTCAGCTGGCAGGCCGCCGAGGCGACGCAGCGGTTGTGTTCGGACAATTTGAGAGCAATTCAGGATGTAGCCGTGAAGCAACCGGCGGATGGGACCCACCGGCACGAGTGCAGGTGCGTGTGGGCCATTACGCAGAGCCAATCAAGGAATCCAGCACCAGCGGCTGGTACACATCACCTGGTGCTGGACGCACAGGGGGCTGGGCTGGGAGGGGCATGCACCGTGCCAAACATTAGCGTGGCGCATTACGACGCCCCCCCCACTAACACCTACTACCCAGGGCGTACCCAGGGCCTTGTGACGCAGCAGCACGCAGGCTCGCGCGTCTTCAAGAGATTTCGACACAACCGTCGCAAGGAAGCACGGCCGCGGGTCCATATTAGTGATTGTGGACCAAGGGTGAAAGTCTGTGGGCGCCAGATTAGGACGATGCCGGCAATTGGACCGATGGTCACAGTATCAACTGCCCCTCCCAAGCGAGGGGCTGATGCTTGGAGGACGCTTATGTTGCGGGTGCCACGAGGCGAGGGGAAAGCCGTTCAAGGCAAAAGCCTCCGCACACGCACAAAAGTGCTACTAAACATGTTGCGCCACCGCGACGTGCGCAAAATCCAATGCCGAAAGCCAGCTGCTGCGTGTTTTGCAGAATGTAGCGGTGGTGATTCAGCAAGAAGAAACCCACCCACCCCTGACGTCAAACCCTGCCGGCCGACGCGTATCAGCGAACATATGGGCCGATGCGTCAACAGCCGGCAACCGTTGCAGGGTCCGTCATTCGTAGGAGCGAGTGACAAGGCGGGGACCAAGCCAAAAGAAGCGGCTGAGCGTTCCATCACCCCAGGTCCATCGTTGTGGCGGGACAGGGACAGGCGCAGCCACAGATTGATTTAGCCGGCGGACGAGCAAGCACGAAGCAAAAGCGTGCCAGGGAAAGCCGCGTCGCGCGTTGGCGGGTCGACAGCAGTGTCGCCCACCACAACGGTTCGCAATACCAAGGCAGTCAGCTAGATGATTCACCTCCCACATCTGCCCAGTTCCGACGGTGTTTCTGTCAGCGCAAGTACGCACATCAATACCAAGCGCCTTAAAACAGCGGGCGCAGGGCGCCGGCGTCGAACGCAAGTGGCAGCACTCCAATCTGCTGCTGTGCGGATGCCACAGGCCACGCCGCGGCGCCATTGAGGGCGCCGCCGCCGGCGATGGCAGTGGCGAGCGCGGCCGAGACGGGGTACAGCTGCAGCGGCTCGTTGTTGACCGCCGCCATGGGCACCTGCTGCAGCAGCAGCGCGTTCAGGTCCCCTCCCACGCCTGGGCAGATGGAAGAGCTGCCGCTCAGCGCGCTCGTCTGCACGCTGACCGGCGACGGCGGCGCCGCGTCAAGGGGCTGAGCGCTAGGGACCGCGGCCGAAGTCTGCAGCTGGCCTAACAACAGGCCCAGGCGCACCTGCTCCTGCTCCAGTGATGCGCACTGCAGCTGCACCAGCAGCTGCTGCTCCTCCAAGTAAGCGCGCAGCTGTGTCGCCTGCTGCTGCTGCTGCTGCTGCTGCTGCTGCAGTGACGCCGAAGCTGACTGCGGTGATCCAGGCGCAGCAGGGAAGCGGAACATGCCGCTGCCAGGCGTCAGCAAGGAGAGGGCGGCAGTGCACGGCGGCGCCATGGCCTCGAGCTTGTGTTGCATTCCGAGCTTGAAAAGAAGAGTGTCAGAGGGCAGGGGCCGGCCGTCGATGAGGGGTACGACGGCCGACATCACTGCAGCAGGTGCTGGAGCCGACAGGGATGCTGTGGTGAGAGGGACGGACGGCGTGCCAGCAAGCAGCACCATCGGGGCCGACAGCGGCAGCGGCGCCGCAATGGTTGGGGCTACCGCCGCGACGCCGGCCACGTCGGCGCTGCTGCTGCTGGTGACGGGGGCTGAGTTGCCGAGGGCCATTGGGAGGGAAGTAGTGCTGCTGCTGACAGGTTCAGTTTCTGGGAAGCGCAGCTCTTGAGCCCTGAGGTGTGGGATGTACCAACAAAGGCAGGGGCGGATGTGTGACGGTGCCTGAAGGCGCAAGCGTGCGCTGGCTAATGATTTCTGGCCAGCGGCAAAGGCAGACGTTTAGCGCTCCGCGCACCGGCGGCTGATCCGGCAGACATGAGGAGTAAGAGGTGCGCTTGTTGCCGGCACCCCATCCGCCCTCTCGCCACTGTGTCCCTGGCCCCCACAGGACTCACTTGTGCGCAAAGAAGCAGAGCGGCCGCGTGCACGAGCTCCCGTTCTTGCACATCTGCGTCTTGAAGCGGTCTGGGTGCAGCCAGTACTCCTGGACGGAGTGTGTGTAGGGGCACGCGTCGCCGCCCGGGCAGCTTCGGCCCTGCAACTCAGCGATGGGGGGACAAGGATGCGTGTTGGGTCGGAGGTCCAGTCGCTGGCGCGAGCAGCCCACTTGCAGGCGGCAAGGTGAGCAGCGCCAGGCAGGCAGGGTCCGCCCATGCCGGTCGCACACCTGCATTGTGTTTGGGCATGGCAGGGACGCGTAGTTGAAGCATGCTGGGTCCCGGCGCTTTGCCTTCTCCTTATCGTGAGCATAGGGGCAGGTCGCCCAGTCGTGGTTGTCCTTGCGGCTGCAGAATTCCACCTGGAGGGGGGGGCAGCACTGGTGTTGGGTCGACTGCGCCCAATTCGACAGGACAACACCTCGACACAGCGCGAGGCGTCTAGCCAGCCCAATCAACTGCAACAAAGCACGAAATGTAAAATGACATGAAAGCAAAGCGCACGCCGCAGGCCGTCTGCCTCGCTGCTGCATGCATGGGCGGTGTCCTCGTGCTGCAGCTGCTGCACGCTCGCAAGCGAGACCAGGCGCTCACCTTGTACCGCCAGATCATGAACTCGTCGCTGAGATTTCTCACCGACATCTGAAGGGCCTGCGGGGCGCGACCAAAGGTGTTCCGGGGGGGTGGGATGGCGGAGTTCGTCAAAGCCCCCGATGACTCGGCGGAAGCGCAACACGCGCTTGAGCAGCAGCGGCCGGCCGCACATGCTCCGAGGCACTAACATGTTGTTTGTGTGCCATCCACGACTGTCTTGGGGTGACGGGAGTCGGTCTGGGTTTCGAAAACCTCTCCGAAGGAAATTGTTTACGGGCTGCGGCGGTGCGTTGAGATGTGTCGAATGTTTTCAAAAATCGAGCTGCTATTTTTTCAGAATGAAAACAAATGTCGTGGAGGGTGTTGTGACAAGCCACCACACAACTTCGTCGCTCGGGCGGCGGTGTGCTGGCGTGGTGACGCACGTTGCTTTGGGGGAGCGCTGGGGCTTCAGCTCGTGAGCCGAAAGCCATAGCATAGAATATATACATGCCCATAATCAGCAGGCGTCACGCTTCCGAACCTCCTCCAGGGCGTCGTCACGGATGGCGAACTGGCCCAGGTGTTTGCTTTCCGACTCATAAGCAACAAGTGACGAACACCTGCTTTGACCATTCTGGCCCGGTAAGTAAGTGCAGGCAAACTGACAGCACGTACCGTATTTCTTGCAAACATGGATTGGGGCTTGCTTGTAAAACGAACGTCATTGATCTGCTCACTTCCAAATTGCGACGTTGCACCCAGCCCAATCAAGAAGTTCGAGCTTTAATGCGACTCAGGACACACAACAATGTGGGATGCTTGACTGCGACATCAGCCCATGGCGCGTCTTCTCTGCCACCCTTTGTGCTGCCAAGATCTGTGCTGTTTTTCAATCATTCACCTAGCAGAAAGTGATCTGCCCAAAAATGGGGGTGGCACTGTTGCTCGCATGCTTGGCCCCCCCCCCCATGGCCTGTACTGCATGTGTTTCAACTAGCTCTCTCGCTTTCTCATACTTCATGGCAGGCGGACAGGTAGCCACTGGGCTTAGCAAAGGGCGTGGGGCGATTGTCGACTAGTTCAGTTGGGCAGAGCACCAGCAGCCGGCAGGCACACTCGGGGACGCATCTCAGCGCTTCTTACCGTATGCATCCGCACTCAGACTCCCTACAGCCTGAACGATTTGATTTCAATTGATAATTTGTCTTGTTTAGAGCCGATGACCTCCTTTTGTGCGGCGCAGAACATCCGTCAGTGTGTTGATCAACATCGTGCGACGGGCAGCAGCATCGACACAGGGCCTCGCGTATAGAATGTGAATTTGCGCTGCTATAGACGAGCCTGGTTAGCAAGGAGTCGTCTTCGCTTTGACGATCTCCACCTTTGTAGACATCATCGCATCTCCTCTAGTGATCCAGAAGTATCCGCAACGGCTTCAATGACGGCTACTTCCCTGCTGGTGCGTGCTTGCGAGGATAAACGCGGGGAGCCCACGAGCTGTGCCGTAACCGTGTCAGGCGCCAGAGCCGGCTGACGCAATGGAGCTTTGGTCGCCGCAGCTCAACACGGGGGTGCACCACATGGACGACGCCTTCCTGATTTGGAGGTTTAAGGTAAGAGTGGTGACGGCGTGGGAAGTTTAGGGGCTTGGATCGCGGGCTCACACACCTGGCTGCTGCTACAGCTGATCGGCCCAATCGCCAGGCGACGGAATCATCAGGACGAGATTATTTGCCCTGGTTAGGGAAGGAAGTGCTACGCCTCAATTTTGAATGTTGGGAACGAACTGCTCTCGCTGCCAAACGCTGGTCACCGGGTGAATGGCGCACGAGAGACGTTGTTGGGCCTGCGAAGTGACAAAGCAAGCGACGACGCGTGCTGTTTGATGTGCCGCGGCGAAGCCACGCAGAACCCCGCACACATTGCCCAAGATCTGCCGGGGCCGTCCCCCCAAGTGGCACGGCCGCTGCGGCGCTCTGCTTGCAGGTAGAGCTCTGCGGCCGTGGCGACAACCACGACTGGGCCCGCTGCCCCTTTGCGCACGAGAAGGAGAAGATGCGGCGGCGCGACCCGGCGCGCTTCAAGTACACAAGTGTGCCCTGTCCAGAAACTATGGGGGTGCGACTTGGGGTTGTGGGCTTGTGCCTGATGCACAGGGCTTGTGCCTGATGCACAGGGCATGGCTGCCATTGCATGGAGGCCTCTGGCACGCGCAGGTTTCAAGCCATTAAGTGGGGTGCGCGGCATGTGAATGCACACAGGCATCCTCGCGAGTTCTCCAGCCAACAACTGATCACCTCAGCACCATCCCTGTGCCCCGGTCCACAGGGCCAGACATGCACAAGGGGCGACGCATGCGGCTACACGCACAGTGTCCAGGCGCGCTTCTGCTCTCCATGTCAGGGGTCCTTCACTGCTTCACAGCAGCGGCACTGAGGCATGAAGTGTCCTGCTCGCTGCGCACAACACATGCGAGTGCATCATTTGCCTTGTGCATCTTGTGGCATGTATGTCGCGCCACGCTTACCCTCCATGCCCGTTGTACAGGAGTATTGGCTTCATCCAGACCGGTTCAAAACACAGATGTGCAAGAACGGCGCGCACTGCAAGAGGCCCCTCTGCTTTTTTGCGCACAGGTGTGCAGCGGGGTGACAACTCTTGAGTCTCGGGCCTGAGCCTCTCCGCACCACACCGCCCTAGCCCTTGTAGCCTGTGCTGTAAATTCTTTGCCATCGTCCGGCTCCCCCGTCTCTCTTCTTGCTGTCCATCAGGGCCCAAGAGCTGCGATTCCCGGACTGTGACCCGACTGACAACTGCAGGCCTACTGCCTTGAGCGTCAGCTCAGCCGACACCACCAGCACCAGCAGCATCAGCAGCAGCAACACTTCTGGCATCATTGCGGCTGCGCTTGTCAGGCCACGGGCTGTGCCGGCCCCTTTGAAGCAGGCAAGTATCGCGCATTTGCCAGGCACCGACGTGTTTGTGCCCCAGGGCAGTTGCTACCTGCCGCAGGACTTGCAGCAAGGCTCCTTGCTGGTGTCGGCGGCATCCTGTACGACGCACCAGCGGGGGCAACAGCAACAGCAGCAGAAACCACTGCTCTTGGGACATCAGCAGGCCCAACTCCCGGACGCAGTGGGCTCCAATTGCGTGTTATACGCTTGCACGACAGAGCTTGGCGTGCCTTTGAGCACGGGCCTGTGCCAAGGCGCATCCTCTACCATGCTCGCGCCCCAGCCGCACCAGCAGCGTCCCCCCCTTGTTGCTGCCGGCCTCAATCGTCTACATTTGCAGCAGCAGCACCAGCACCAGCACCAGCAGCAGTTGGTACAGCTCGAGCAACAGCCACCTGGCCGTGCTCAATACTTGCAGCAGCAGCAGCTGTGGCAGCAGCAGCAGCAGCAACAGCAGTGGCAGCAGCAGCAGCAGCAGCAGCAGAAGCAGAAGCGGCAGCAGAAGCAGAAGCGGCAGCAGCAGCCGCAGAATTCCCAGCAGGCATGGCAGCAGCACCAGATGCAGCAGGCGTGGCCCATCGGGAGCGTCGTTTACACCCCCGCCGCCGCACCCCAGGTTGTGCCACAAGGGCCAGCAGACGGTCACTCTGGCTTTCAAGCCACGCCCAGCTGGCTGATTGGCCACACAGCTGATAGCCCTCAGCTGGCCATGCAGCCAGTTCTTACTGGGACCGGCAGTCACGCGGCCACTGCTGTGCAGCCGGTTGAGGTGCAAATAATCACCAGCGCGCCTGCGAGCGGCTTTGGGCTTTGCATTCCAGGGGCTTATGCAGCCCCCAACCGGGGCTGATCGGACCAGCGGTGGACCTGTCAATCATCTGCCTGATTTCTGGGGCCCACACTGTTGTAGGGGCCGGTTCTTACAATGGCGTGCCCACTTTGGCATGCAGCTGTGCAAGTGCACCTGCTGCAGCACCCAATTGTTTTCATCTCACTATTGGGACCACACTGGTTGGCTTTGTGTATCTGACAGAGTTTGCACGTTTTGCTTTACACTGCTGGATGTGTGGCAGGCTGGCCCTCACCCATGCGGCACATGGCGGCACTGCGAGCACCGTATCACAATTATTACAGGGCCGATTGCTTGCGAGCACTGGCAGGATAGGTTTACCGCCGGGGCAGTTGACCCGCGTTGCTGCCTGGCGAGGCGGAACACAGCGGTTCAGAACGGGCCGGCCGGCTGGTGCCTGCACTTTGCAGGAGCAAATTTACAGAGTACCTCGCCGGCAACTTCCTTGGACCACATGCTTACCAACTCAATGCGTGTAGGGCCCGGCCCGTGCGTGGCTGCCGGTTGCAGCCGCGCCTGCGCTACCCTCCCACAACATCAATGCTTGCGATGATACGTGTCTTGCTAGGGACTCTTTCACCGTCATTCGGTCACACACTCACACATGTTTGAACAATGGCCCCACCCGCCGGTATCACTCTTCGTGGCGATCACGCGCGCCTTCGGCATGGCGCAGCGGCGTAGGATACTTGCATTACACTGAAAGCCGGCCGGCTGGTGTTGGTGCCCTGAGATTGTCTTAAACAGAACCTGCGCGGAGCCCCTTGATCAAACACGTGGATTTGCCATGGGCTTCATGCATGAAACCCGCCATGTCCTCGTGAGGCCGGGACCCCAAAGCGCTGCGGGTTGGCAAGCAACAGGATGCTGTTTTTTGCTCCCCTCGCTATGGATTCTTGCCGGCGGCCATGTGGCTTTGCCACGATCACGCACTGCATGCTCCTGTGTGTTGACGGCTTGAGGGCACACAGTTCTATCATGCGAAAGGAACGAAGCACTGTAGGAAGGTACTTCCAACCAGCAGTAATCTGCAACACTTGTGGGTGGTCTTGCCAAATGCATTTGTACAGGGTGTGTACGTCCTGGCGGCCCCCTCCCCTCGTACCGTGCCAGCTTGAACACAGTGGCAGTGCCGACCCTTGGAAACTGGGTGCTGCAGTACAGACTTTGTGTGCCCGTCGCGCACAAGGATTGTGCTGAAGGCGGGGGAAGGGCTGAAAGCTGGTGCACTCGTGTATCTGTGATCAAAGGCAACGGTTTGGGCCTACATCTGTTGGAAGTTGTTGCCAACTGTCATGCTTGCGGCAACTTTACAACGACAGGATCTGCAGCGCCTCAGCATACGTACTACATCAGCAGTTGCTGAGGGTGTCGCGCTGCCCTTGTCGGAGGTGGCCCGCTCACTGCACACGCAACGCCAGGGGCGCCGGGGTGGCACCCACCTTCCTTACAGCAAGGAAACGCCTTTTAATATTTGAGTGCTATATTTACACGTCAGTTGTCTGTACTAGATGCGCCAAGTGTGTAGCAAAACAATCAGCATGCAGGCCGCGGCCGGGAGCAGCGTGGCGAGCTGCTCTGCCCGCGTGCCCGTGGTGAGTCGCAAGTAACAAGCGGTATACGCTGAGCGGGTTCCCGGTGCGCCATTGCTGCCGGAGCCTGGAAGCGACAAACCCGCATCTCGCCATGCTTTGCAGGCTTCATCAGGACGGGGAGGCAGGGTCAGGATAGCTCAGAGGATAACTTGCGCACAGCTGCAGCAGCAACTCGTACCCCTCGCTGACGTTGGTGAGTGTGCTCGCTGCATGGCTGTGTGCGCCGTTGAGACGGGACTCCCGTCGGCGTTGCGCTGTGAGCAGGGGCGCTCATCCAGCTGCCAGTTGTTGCGCAGCGTGGTTGTGTTTGCCATGCTTGCTCACCCAGTTGGCTGCACGTGCACCCCTCCCCTTGCACGCCGCGCCGCGACCGCCGCCGTCCACGCTCCCCCACCACCCTTGCACTCGACTCGCCTCAGCCGCAGAGGGGGGCAGGGTTCGGCTGTCGTTCCGCATCCCCTACCGCACCAACTTTGGCCAGGATATTGCCATGGTCGGGTCGAACGAGCTGCTGGGCAATTGGGACCCGAAGCGCGGCATGGGCATGAGGTGGAGCGAGGGCGACGTGTGGGTGGCGGATTTCGAGGTTCCGCCCGGGTGAGACGCGGGCGAGAGGGCAGGGGGGCTCAGCCAGGCTGGCGGGCTGGCGGGATTCAATAGGGGATGTGGCCGCAGCAGAGAACCATGGGCACCTGCTTACATCTGGAAGACCTCTGCAGTTAGAGCAGGATATCAGCTTCCCGCGTTCACAATCGCTGTCCCCCCGCCCTCGTCCTGCACCATCCCCTGCACTCCAGCCCCCATCTCGAGATGGAGTACAAGGTGATGCGGCTGACGGGGTCTGGCGGCAGCAGACGCGCGGATGTATTGGCCACAGTTGCTTTGAGCTGCAGCATGCACAGCGGGGTGGTATCTTGACAATCTTCGTCTTGTCGCAGACATGAACACCCGCTTCGACTCCCCCAAAACACTACACACAACCATAGTATGTCGTCCGCAACGCTGACGGTGGCGTGTCCCACTGGAAGCCCGGCAGCAACTTCAGCTTCAGCCTCTCTAGCGTCGCTCCTCTGGTGCTGGCCAGAGGCGGGCCGCGCGGCGCGCAGCTTGGCGGCGTCGCCGTGCGGGACGCGTGGGACGGGGCCAGGCGTGACGTGAGCGTCGAGTTTGCAGAGGACAGCGGCCTGAGTGAGGAGGAGCGGCGCGAGCAGGACGCGTTCAGGGAGTCGGTGAGCACAGGGCAGGGGCGGGGGGTGTGCAGGGCCGTGCGCGCCCCGAGGGGGATGGGCGCCGCCAGGCGTGAGCGGGACAGGCCCGTAGCAGTGGGCGCGAGCTGCGCGCGAGCAGGGCAGGGGCAGGGGCGCACGCACTCGACGGCGGGGCGGGGGCCTGACGGGAGAGTGATCTTGCGCAACTGGAGTTGGGCGCTGGATGGAGTTGCCGGGGCAGCCGTGGCAGATGTGAGGGGCGAGCAAGGTCTTGGTCCTCCGGCAGCGTGGCACACAATCTGCTTTTGTGCCGTCGGCCTACCCTTTTGGCCCCTGCAGCTGAGCGCTGCCCTGGAGGAGCTCTCTGGCCACATCACCCAGGCCGAGCAGCTCAGCAGACGCATCAAGGGTGAGGGGGTGATTGCGCGTCTGCGCGCGTGTGAGTGTCATCGGGGACGTGTGACTGCGCATCCGCACGTGTGATGTGTACGCATGTGAATATCATCGATACCCTGTGCCATGCATGCAAGTGTGTCTGGTGGGTTTATATGTTGTTTGTGTGTGCTTGCATAAATGTGTGCGTGTTGGTCTCGTTGCAACGTGCGCGCATGTGAGTCAGTGTGTGCCCGTCTCAGCATGGGGCTGGGGTGGGGTACCAGCCTCAGAGCGAGGGGCGTGACAGCTGGCAGGCTGGCGTGCCCACAGCGACTGCACCAAGGGGTTGGGCTGTGCCAAGCTTCCAGTGCTGCCCTCTCCTGGTAGCAGCAGACCCCCATGTGCGCTCTCAACCCAGCCCCGAACCTCACCCACCCACCACCCGCCGCCCCTGACGTGGCGCAGACCCGGCATCACCCCACCTGCTCGAAGCGGACCGAATGGTGGCTGCGGCCACTCGCAAGGCAGTGAGTGCCCCGAGACTCCCCGCCCGAACGGTGTTGCCCAGCCTGCAGCAGCGCCTTGCACAGCTCCCCCTGCTGCGGGGCGAACTGCCCCTGTCCGTGTGGACCCGTGTCTGTGCGCACTTACTGAACTAGACGCCTGCTGCGCCCCTGCTCGTGCGCGCCTCGCGCGCAGGTGGCCTTTGCCCAGGCGCTCAATGCATCCATCTCGTGGAGCGCCCTCTCCGAACAGGCCTGAGGGGCGCAGGCTGCATGCTGCGGCGGCGTCAGGGGGGAAGGTTGTATCGTCAAAACGTGCGCCACCGCGTGGTCTTATTTTATTGATGCACGCCTCCTATATGCTGCGCGCTGCTTTCAAGTTGCCGCAGCCCTGTTTCGCACGAGGGGAACAAGACGCTGCCACCCAGCAAACTGGGCTGTGGCAGGCGCGAGATTGCGGGCAAAGTCCTGCCTGCGGTTGCCGACCTGTATTATTGCCGGGTCACCGGCGCGAGCGATCCTGTTTATCAGAGTGCCCATCATGTGCAGCGCGGCATGTGGCGCGCGGGCTGTCGTGGGCGCATGTCGTCCATGTGCGCATCCCAGCGTGCATGCCTCGACTGGAGACGAGCGGCGGAGAAAAGCAGGGATGCAGAACATCTGGATGCACGTGAGTGCACGGGGCAGCGCTCATCTTGCCCATCAACTGATGTCATATCACCATTATCACCTGCAGGTTTTTGCATTTGCTGTGCTGAGCTTCGTGTTTGCTATGCTGAGCTCTGAGTTTGCATTTGCTGATCCCCTCATCTGTTTGATTTGGTCCAATTCTCTGTGTGTACAACGCGCAACACTTGTGTGCGCTTGCTATTCGTTGCTTGTTGGTTGCAACTGCTGCCACCAGCCTGCTTTTTTGTGGATTTTGACTGCATCATGCATCACCTGAGCTGCGCTTTGCTTCTACTTGCAAGGACGCTGTAAGCGCACCGCATGTTGCTCGGAATGCGGTATGTTGGCTTGGGTAGGGCAACGTAATCCGCCAGTCAGGTGAAGTCTGGAGCACCCCTTGGCACAATTCACCATCTGTCTAGCAATTTTTGTGGTTTGACGCGTGCCGATGGAATGGGTGCAAGCAGGGATACCCCACCCGCACTCGAAACACAAAGCCAAGGTTGCCACGCTCCATTGCTGCTTGCCGCTCACTTCCCACTTCACGCCCCCTGTGAGGCGGTGACGGCCGACTACGACTCCAAGGTAGTTGAGGTGAACTTCTATTCTACTGGCTAGTCTGACCTCAGCAAGTGTTCATTCACGGCATGTCAGCCTGGGCTTTTTATGATTTCAGGTACAGGGACTCTAGGTCAGTAGGGGGTTGGACCGGTTGTGCGTTGTGCGTTGGCGAATGGAGTGCAGGGACCCATTGCAAACGCTGTTTTTTTTGTGAAAACGCCATCATGCCGCTTTTCCGGCCCTTGAAAACTCAGGCGCCTTCGTGCATTGACTACGAGATTGCTGGACCCCGCCCTGGATCTGCCCGCTCTCCACCTCAGCTTCACGCACGGGCTTGCATCGGAGACCACCTGGAGTTGGCACGCGTCTGTTTCACAAAATTCAAATAAAGGGCCCCTGGCAGCAAGGCACAACCTGAAAACTCTGCCGTGGATACACTAGATCTGGACGCAACGGGGCAGAGATGTGGGCAAGAAGCAGCTTATCGGCGAGGCCGGGCACCAGGCTACGGAGCTCGCTCCTGCTGGGCCGCGTGACCAAGCCAAGGTCGCGCACAGTCGTCAAGGTGCGCTTGATTCAGTTAGCCTGGGTCTCCATGCCAGAGACTTGACTCGCCGATCACGATTTCATGCACGCACCCATTCAACGCAGGCAACTGCGTCAGACGCCGTTGTTGGGGGGGGCGCCGCGCGAAGCGGCGCCAGCAGCAGCGGCACTCAAGCCACAACCAGCCAGCAGCCACACCAGCAGCAGCAGCAGCGCCAGATGCGACAGCAGCAATATCAGCAGCCAGCCAACGCTGGCACAGCACCCATTGACAGCAGCATCGCCGGAAACACCGCGCTGCTGCGCCGTGTCGCATGCGCCAAGACCTCCATTGAGGCACTGGACATGCTGCTGCAGCAGCATTCGCAGCCCTTCGATGGTGTCGAGGCCGCCGATGCGGAGCTTGTTCTGTCTCTGGCCCTCGAAAAAAGCAATGTGGATCTCGCCCTCGCGATCTATGCCGACATGTGCGCGTCGCGCCGCAGCGCGCAGCGCGGCCGCCCCGGCGCGGCGGGCCCGCAGTGGCCCGCGGCCTCGCTGGCGACGACGGTGGCGCTGATCCTGGGTCTTTGCCGGCAGCTGCGGGTGGTGGAGGCGCTGGCGGTGATGCAGGGCATGCGGACGCAGGGCATGCCGCGGAATGAGGAGGTGAGTGGAGCCAGCTCGGCAGGGGTCGCATGGGGGGCGGGCCTCCGCCGCCCAGCCCCCTGGCCTAGGATCGGGCAGGCTCCTCAAGGACGCAAGGCGCTTGGCGTTGCTGCACCTGTTAGCTGCAGCTGCCATGCTCATCAAGGGATGCGAGCGCACGCCACAAGCAGCAGCAGCAGCAGCAGCAGCTGCGCCCCTCTTCGCCAGGGGTTTCCACCTTGCCCCCACGCATCAGCCCGCCCCTCACCATCTCGACCCCAGGTGTCGTTCGGCTTCGTGGTGCCGTCGCCGCTGCCTCCGAACCGGCCGCTGGCGGTGGTGCAGCCGCAGGAGGGCGCGAAGGTCGTGGCCGACTCTGAGTCCCGCTACGAGTTTGAGCTGTTCTCGGGAACAGTCACCAGCTGCAGCTCGGAGGCGCAGCAACCAGCCAGCAACTGGGCCCTCGCAGCTGCGCGCGCGGTCGGCTTGTGGAAGGCGCCGCCGATTGCCGCGGTCCACACGTGGGTCGTACGGGCGCCCGACGGCGCGAGCCGCACGTTCCGGGCGGCGACGGCGACCGCCGACGTGCCGGCGCAGGTGGGCGAGCGCGTGACGGTCGTGTCTGCGCCCGAGCGCGGCCGCAGCAAGCAGCGGCGGCTGCTGCTCAGCACGGCGGCTCCAGGCATGCGGCCAGGCGAGCCGATGAGTGTCGTCAACCACAAAACGTCCGCCGTGCAGCGGCTCGGCCGGCCGCTGGCAGCCGGCGCGACCGGCGGCCTGCCCAGCTGGGTGCTGCCCGCGGCCGTGGTCCTCGCTGGCAGCGACGCGGCGTCCGCGCTGCTTGACCCCGCGCTGCCGGCGCTCATCGCGGCCGGCGCCGCGGCGGCGGCGGGCAGCGCAGTCGCCAGCAGCTCGCTGCTGCTGCCGCGGCTGAAGCAGCTGCCGACCAATGCGGTGAAGATCGAGGGCATGCGGCAGGCGCTGCTCGCGCAGCACGCGGCCCTCAGCCGCAAGGTGGAGGCCGCCCTCGGCGAGGCGTCGGAGGACGCGCGCGCGCTCGCGCGGCTGTGGCAGCTGCAGGTCAAGATGGAGTCCGTGGGCGGCGGCGCCGCCGCGGGCGCGGCCGCGCCGGCTGCGGCCGCCCGCGGCAGCGTCGACTCCGGCGACGGCACCGGCAGCACCGCGCTCGCGAGCGCCGCGGGCGGCGGCCCGAACACGTACGCCGCGCGCATCGGCCGCGTGGAGACGGCGCGGCGCGGCGTCGAGGAGCGGCTGGCGTCGCGGCTCGAGCTCCTCGACGGCTACGCGCGCGTGATTGACATGATCGAGATTGAGGTGGAGATGGAGATCGACGTGGCCGCCGCGGAGCTGACCGGCATTGGCGAGCAGATCGAGCGGCTGACCGAGCTGGAGGCGCTGCAGGAGGAGTGGCGCACGCAGGCCGAGGCGCAGGACGAGGTGCGGCCGCGCTGCTGGGGGCTGCGAACCCGCCCCAAGCTCACGCGTGTTGGGTGGACGTGGGCCGGGGGCTGGCTGCGCCGCGGTAGCAGATACGCGTAGCCTGCATACGTGCCTTTCCTCTGTCACATGAGCAAATATGTGTCTGTGTGTGTGTGTGTGTGAGAGAGAGAGTGTGTGTGTGTGTGTGCGTGTGTGTACGCCAGCGCACTCGCGCGCACCATGGCTCAACCCAAGTCCTGTCACCCCCACTGCTGCCACTCGCAGGTCGAGCGGTTGCTGAGATCTCCGTCCTCTTCATTCTGACCGCTTCATTTCAACCATCCTCCAATCCGCTACGGTGCGCCTTATTTCTTGGGCAGGCAGCATCCCCGGGTCCACTGTTGATACCCCATCTCAGGCCGAATGTGAGAGCAGCGCGGTACACTCCCCGACCGCCGCAACATCAAGGGAGTTGCGAGGGGCTCCGCGCGCTGGTGTAGCGCCTGTCGCCTGCAATTTTGGGCAGTTTTTTGACTGTCAGCGCCGCGGCCCGTCCCACCGACCACTTGCCGGCGTCATTCCATTTCACCCTTTGTGAGCAGCCGCAGCTTTTGTGCCGCTTGATTGGAGATGCCTGTTGTGTGTGGTTTGTGTAGGATACCTTCCTGATGACGCCACCAGTGCTCCGAGGTGTGCAAGTGCGGGGCCTGGTGGTGCCCTGGCTGGCGTGGGCACGAGTAACAGCCAACATCAATCCAAAGCGCCACGCAATCGAGCTGGGTGGTGCACAACGTGTGGTGCACGACAAGGGAAACACAGCCGCAATCCACCAGGCAATCTGACACATTGAATGGCTTCCTGCAAGCACCGCAAGGGTTTCAAAGCAAGGGTTCCACAAGGCGCGCAGGAAATGTGCAAAACAAGGATGCGACAAGCGGCTGTACAGCAACGGCACAGCAAAACCGATTCGTGGCATTGACTAAGAGGCGTTGGATGCGCGCAACCTGCGCCCAAGCCACCGGTTGTGCGATCAGTGCGCTAAACGCCACATTGTGTGGTCTGCAAGTGTGCCCAGGGAACGGCCGCAGCCGCCCCTGCACATGACGTTGGGCATGGGGAAGTGGGCAGGGGGCCACACGTCCGTGCCAAGAGGCACAATGCCAGGGGGATGGTGCGATATACAGGGGCGCGCCTGCGAGTGGTGCTGCACGCGCAAGGCGCCCCGAGCTGCGCAGGTGAGTGGTGATGAGCCTGCAGCCTGCGCAGCGAGTCGACAAGGGCAGTCTGATGGCTGACAGACGCGCATGAAAGATTAGGTGCAAATACATCAGTACACAGTGGGGTTGCAACCCCTCGCAGTCCTTTAGAAGAGTTCAAAGCTGGCAACGGCGTGCCAGGTCACCTGTAAAGCACACGCGAGCCAGCAGGTAGAAATAGCCAAGCACGAGCAAGGTTCAAACAGCCAAGGTGGAGTTGACAAACGAAGGCGCTGCCCCCTTGGTCGCACAAACCACACGGGGGCTGGATATTTGCAAAAGGGGTACCCAGGATCAGCGAAAAGCGCTGCGAAGCCGATCAAGGCCCCCGGCGGCCTGGCCCCGCGCGCCTGTGCGGCGCTCTGGGGCCATGCGCTGTGCCGTACATCAGCGGGCGCACGCGCCTGCCCTTGGAGCCAGCGACGAGGGGCTGATGATCGTGGGGGTGCAACCCCGCCGCTTGGGAGTGCAGCCGCAGCGTACATGCAAGCTCTGGTTCTTTGCGTGCTTCCAAGCTGCAAGTGTTTCTCCACACGGCCCATGAAATCTTGTGTAGTTGTTCAAACAACAGCAAAACCAGATTCACCACCAGCGACCACCTGCTGGAAAAGGGCCGATGACGTGCGGCCCTGCGTCGCCGTGTTGCTGGTTGCGCCGCCGCCACCCGCGTGCAGGTGTGGTGCTGAGTCGCGGGCGGGGCGTGGGGTTGTCGAAGCGTCGACCACAATCGAATCACGCTGTCCATTGAACAAGAGCGCTCATCAATGTACGAGGTCATGAGCCGCCCAGACCGGCAGAGCACTACGGCAAGCAGCACCCGCCGTCTTTGAGTGGTTGATGCCGCCGGGAGGAGTCAGGAGTGCGATTGACCTCGCCTGAGGGTGTGCAGAGCCTGCGCGGACAAAGGGCGCAGAGAGCATGACCTTGGGGTCATACACAAAAGGGCAACGTGCACTGGACCATAACCCACACCAGCAGACAGCACACGCCCCCAGGCCCCAGCCACCAGCCCTTGCCCGCCTCTCAGATGCAAGTACCCCGCAGCCCATCCCACGTGCAACTCAACTTTTATGCGTCGCGCTGCGTCACAGGCTGGTGATGGTCACGCCCGCTGCGGGCGCACTGCGGCGCCGCCAGCCACCCAGTCCGCTGCGGCGGCGCACACAGCTGCTGTGCAGCATAATAGTAGTGCGTATCTGCAGGCGCCGCGCGCTGCTGCCGCAGAACTGCGGCCTGCTGCAGGCGCATGCGCGCCTTGGCCCAGGCAAGCTGCTTGGGGTTGTCGCTGCTGAAGGGGATTGGGATGGGCCCGCTGCATTGCGTGCCTGCGACATCGCAGCTGCAGCTCGACAGATTGCCGGCGCTGCTGCAGTCCGAACGCCCCTCGCCCCAACTGCCATCGCTGTCGCAGCCGTCGCAAGAGTCTTGGCGGTAGCTGGACGCGCCGCCCGCAGCTGCGAGCGCAGTGGAGAGGGCCGACCGGGTCGCACGAGGGGCGCTGCGACGGGGTGGCGCTAAAATCTCACGAGGCGCGCCCTGGCCCTGATCAGAGCACGCCTCAAAACCATATACTGTGTTCATGCCGGCGGGCAGCCGTAAACTGGCCAGACCCAGTTGCTGTCGTAGATCGAGGCGGGGGTAAGGTCTAGAAATGTATACCACCTACAGTCATATATCTCAGTGACACTAGAACAAGCAAAGCGCGATCGCGTACAGTATGATGGGCCTGTTATGATGATACATCGCCGAAAGGTGCGGTCGGTTGCCGTTTCGGCCTTGGAGTGCTGAACGAGGAGCAAGTCGCATATGACGACAATCCACGACTTGATTAACGGCATATTAAATCTTACATGTTTTGATCACTGATCTGGACGCGCCATCGGCTTCTTCGTGTGCGTATGGCCATAAAGTATATTGTTTTGAAGATATCTCAGTTAAAGCTGCTCACTTCAGCGCCAGCTCGCCGAAAAGGCGCAAAGACATTGTCCATTACTGCCTTGACGGCGCGCCCGGATGGACGAGCGGCTGGTGGAGGCGGCGCAGGCGCTGCTCACGGGCTATGACACAGCACTGAGCCGTGAATGGCGCGCAGAGGATCGGCAGTGGCGTGGCGAGGACTTGAAATGGCGGGAGGCGGAGCGCACCCAAATGCTTGCAGAGCGCGACTTCATGTGGGCGCGCCTGGGCTGGGCTGGGTGGGGGCGGCAGGGGCGAGAGAAGGGAGGGATTGCAGTGATGTGGAATTTGAGCGTGTAATTGTGTTCTCTTGCCTAACATGTTGCTGAGCTGTCGGCCTTTCTGCTGGCCTAACCAAGCAGGTCTAAAAATGCATGCGCGAGCTTGCAAAAGTTGTTGGCCCGCCACTTGCGGGGCTCCCGCAGTCCATGCTGCATCAACGCACACCCTCTGTTGACACGCCCTTGGCGCAGAGAGGAGGAGAGGCTCTGGCATGAACTAGACGTTGAGCAGCGTGAGCAGCAAGCGTCACTGCCAAACTGGGAGCCGTACTGCGCGCAAGTTTGACGCACTCGCACAGAGGGGCATCCCTAGGTCAAGCCCCCGCCCTGCAGCTCACCACACGGGCGTGGTTGGCTCGCCTTCCCGCGCCCCTCCCCGCAGGGCATCTCGACAACGCGCGCGTGCTGTGGGCGCGCGTCTTTGAGCGCAACCGCCGAGACGTGGAGGAGAAGAGCGAGCAGCTCAAGGCCCTCGGCAACATGGCCGCCCTCATCGCGGGGTTCTCCCTCGCGGCGTTCATGCAGGTGCTCGCGCGCACGCGCGTTCGGGCCGCGGCCGCGTTTGACCGGATTCAACAGCCGATTTTGTGCACCAGTCGCTGCAGCAGCGCAGGCGTCGGGGGGGGGGGGGCTCGGCACCGCGAGGGGCTCAGCTTTGCACGAGAGCTCTTCCCGGGATTTGCTACAGGATGCGCCACACGAGCCAATGCATAGCCCTCTAACGCTGAACCTTGCCTCGCCCAGGACATGCACACCTCTGCTCCCCCCTTCTCACGCCTCTGCCCGCCTCTTGTTCTCGCCCTTGTGCCCTCGAACCCCCCTTGGCGCACAGTTTGACTGGACGGGCTTTGTCGACACCACGGGCGCCCTGCTGCCGCTCTTTGGCCTCACCATGGCGCTGACCGTGGGCTTCAACATGATCGCCGTCATCATCTGCACCCTCATGCTCGTCAGGTGCGCACGGACACGCGTCACCGCACAATTGCACGAGCTACATGCACGCGTGCGGCAGGCATGCGGGCGTGCCGCACGCACGCGGGCGCGGCAATCGGCTCGCCTGCCTTGGCACCTTGTTTTGCCCACGAGACTGCACGCTTCCCTTACGCAGCATCATCAAGACCGGCCAGCGCTACACATCCGATGAAGAGGAGGCGGAATTCATGGTGGGGCGCTGCCCACGGCCCTGTTTTCGTTGCAACAGCACGGGAGATGGCGCACTGGGCAATCAGGCTGTGCGCTCGGGTGTCAAAACCTGATGATTGCTCTGCAAGCAGCTCTTCGCAGCGCCGCCACCCACCCGCTGCCCTCTGTGACCGCAGGCACGAGCACGCGACTTTGCCCTGACCTACAGGTGAGCCCTCTCATAACATACTCCGCCGCTGCCGTGACAAACGCACGCATACGCTCATGTACATGCCACTCACCCCAACGCACACAACCCCGAGTAGCCAAGCTGAGTTATTGAATGCCTCAATCGCTCAACCCTGCTGCGTCCCTGCAGCTCACAAGATCACTGCGCTCACTTCCCGTTCACAAGCAGGCCCGGAATGCGGCCGCCGGCGCCGCACCGATCCTTCGCCGCCCACTGGAACACGCGCTGCGAGACCAGCTGGCGGCGCGCCTTCACCCTCTTCGTAAGCGCCCCCCCCCCTAAACCCCTGTCATTACCTCCCTGTCATGTTGGCCGCCGCGTCCCCAGGCCTCCTGCCCGCTATGCCTGGTCACCATCGCAGATTATGGCTCTCTCGCAATCTCCCGCGTTGCCCTCTGCGTTGTCCGCCCTCTGCCCTGCGTCGCCCCGCCACCAGGGCCTGTCCATCCCCGCGTGCTTTGCCAACCTAGCGGTCGCGGCGTGGATCAAGTTCGACAGCTCTGTCCCTGCGGCCGCTATTGTGACGGCGATCATGCTGCTGTCCGCGGCCGCGGTGGCGTGGCACCACCGTAAGTGGACGGCGCACATCCTCACAAAGGACCGCCTGGCACAGGTGCGCGGGCGCATGGGGGAGGGGTCGCGTGGGGGGGCAACTCGAGTGCCCCTGGGCAAGTTGCGGCTGCTCCTGCGACGGGCAGTTGCGAATGGCAGAGAAAACGAAGGGGCTGGCGCGGATGCCAGACGCATGTTGTGCAAAGGGGGTGGCAGGAGGCGGGTGCAGGCGCCATGGGCTGGCCAGGTGCGGGACACATCACCCCGCCCTCCGCGCTCTGCTGCAGGGCGCCGAGCGCATACCTTTGGTCAGCAGCGGCCTGCCATTTGACTGGTGAGCCCCAGGTCACGAGCCTCTGGGTTGCCAATTGACGTCGTGTGTTCTGGCTGCGGGCTTGGTGTCAACATTGTTGATACATAGCCTGCTATCTCAGCAGCGCACCCTGGCGCGTGCACCCCCCGCCCCCTCACAGGCACCTGAAGCCGGCGACACTGCCGCGCGGCGCTGCCAACGGCAACGACCCGTCGCAGTGGGGCGGCAGCGTCGGCGACGGCGTGTCGCAGTCTGCGTCGGAGCCCAGGGGCGCGTGGCCGCTGCGCTCCAGCGCGCCGACCTCACAGTCGCAGTCGCACGTGGTGAGCGGATTTCACGGGCGAAATGCAGCCCAGTTCAAATTGGTGGCCCATCGTGCCTCGCCTTGGTGCCTGGGGGTGCGGCCGTCTGCACTCACATCATAGACAGCTGTATTGGCGATGAAACTGCTTTGGGTCGCATTTCCCGCTGATATGACGTCGCGCAATATTCCTGTTCACACGATCAGGCGCTGGCTCACCCAACATCGCAGGTGGACATCGACATGCAGGCACGGCTTGCGCCGTCGCGGTGATGGCTGCGTGCGTCGACGGTAACATACTGCAAATACTGGTCGGCAAAACAGCACACAGCTTTTGGTCATCAATGGCATCTGCTCTTGATTGTGCATGAAGGCAAGAGGCGGCCGGTTGCAGCTGTGGCAGGGCAGCTGTTGCCGGTTGCAGGTGTGCCAGTGGTTTGTGGACTGGCCTGCGGACAACCCCCGCAGCAAGCATTTTGACCAAGATGTATCGTAGGATGCTCTTATCATGAAGCCAGTGTGTTTCCAAGCACTCCCTTGATTGCTCCGCGCCATCGCAAATGCCCGACTCAAGTGTTGCATTTTGTAATTCAAACGCAGCTGGCCAATGACGGAAGGCAACCACCACATTGGGTGTGGACGGTGGCCAGCCTGAGGCAGCATTGCGGGTGGTTCAGGTCAACTGGGAAACCCCTTCCCTTTCATCTTGTAATAGTGCTGTGCTTCTCCGTCCACATGCGTGTCGGTGCGTTGACGCTGTGTTGAAGGCTGCAGCAGCTGCTGCCTGGTGCTGTCATTGGGCCAACCTTCTCTAGGAAGGCCCTGCTTTCAGCCATGCAAAGTTTGGTAATGTTGCACACGGCCTCAAATACTGTAGAGGCGATCGGAAGCTCGTTCGTATAAGGAGATCACAACCTTTCGACCTGATCCATGAGCCTAGCACCGTAGTTGTGACCGATGCGAGGACGGCAGGGGACGCTATGGCTGCTAGGCCTTCTGGCCGCCAGCCTAGCGGGGCCAGCACTAGCAAGCGAGCGCAACCATCGCTATGCGGACAAGGAGCCGGTTGTGCTGTGGGTAAACAAAGTGGGGCCCTTCAACAACCCACAAGAGACCTACAATTACTACGCCCTGCCATACTGCAAGGCGCGGCCTGATGAGCCCGCCGAGCACAGCTGGGGCGGCCTTGGGGAGGTGCTGCAGGGCAATGAACTAATTCACAGCCAGCTGGACATCAAGTTCAAGGGTGAGCGCCGCCCCCCCTGCGCCTGATGAGATGACAAGCCGGGCGCGCGAGCAGCGGCGCTCGCGCGCGGCGCTCGCCTGCGGCGCGCCCTTACCCGCCGCCAACCGCCCGCCGCACGCAATGCGCCGTCGCCGTCGCCGCCGTCCGCGTGCGCCAAACCGCAGTCCCGGTCCCGAAGACCCTGATCTGCGAGAAGACGCTGTCGGACGACGACGTGTCTGAGTTCTCGGAGGCGATCCGGCGGCAGTACTGGTTTGAGCTGTTCATGGACGAGCTGCCGATGTGGGGCTACGTGGGGGAGGTCAAGCACGGGGCCAAGGGGCAGCAGCCGGCCACGCTGCTGTACCCGCACTGGCAGCTGGACATCAGCTATAACGAGGACCAGGTGAGGGGGGTACCGCGGCAGGGGGGGGGGGGGCGCGTGGACACTCGCCTCGCATGCGTCCGCCTGATGGATCGGGAGGCCGGCTGCCTGCTGCGTTTGCTGTGAGGCCCGTCGGCTGCTGTGGCGGTGGGGGCCGTGCCTGGGCAGCTGCAGGTGCAGTCTCGCCCGGCTGTATTGTACTGTGGGGTGGCTGTGGAGAGTGGTGCCAGGCTGATACCTGGCGTGTTCTGCAGCAGGAGTACGAGGATGCAGCCCTGGCGCCGCAGCAGGAGCAGCAGCATCAGCAGCGGCAGCATGCCGTAGCAGCATCTGCGATCGTTCGGCTGTCATTGGTCGCATTTTTTGTCTGGGAGCTTCCCACAGCTGCGGCCATGCAATGCGGAGGGGAGTGTTGCTGGTAGCATGTCAAAGTCAGCGTGTCAGCTGCCAGCCGGCTGGCCAGCATTCAAGAACACCCTGTTGTGTTCCAAATGTTGTTGTGCAGCTGGCCCCTCTTGCCCATGCCGCCAGCCCCAATCGCCACAGCTTCCCCGCCTGGTAGCCCTACCCGCACAACCCACCAGTGCTCACACCACACATGCGCACGCGCTCACACACACACGCACACCCCAAAACGCACGCCGCGCTCTTCACCTATCTCTTTGCACGCTCGTACCCACCCGCATCCCAACACACGCGGCATCGCCCCCGCCCCCCAGATCATCCATGTCAACCTGACCCAGCACGACAACGCCACGTCCCCAGTCGAGCTCGTGTCTGGCGCCAAGGTGGCCTTCACCTACGCGGTGACGTGGACGCCCACGGACACGGACTTTTCTAAGCGGTTTGACAAGTACCTGGACTACTCCTTCTTCGAGCACAAGGTGGGGGGAGGGGCCAGGGG